GCCTTATAACTTTTAACTTTAAACCCGAAACCCCAAACTCGAAAGCTTCAGCTAAACCCCAAAGCCCCAAACCCCACAACCACACCACAGGGGGAAGAGGGACCCCACACCCCACCGACAGGGAGGGGGGGGGATCCTGCACCATGGACCATGGGGCGGGGGGAGGGGGGGGAGCCGCGGAGCGCCTGACCATATATACGTACATTCATTCTTCGTACGTGCTTCGTTACATGTACATATCATTTGCATTTACATATGCGGTACAAGCACACATACACATACGCATATGTATGTATGTATGTATGTATGTATGTATGTATGTATGTATGTGTATGTATATGTATATGTATATGTATATGTATATGTATATGTATATGTATATGTATATGTATATAACTATGTGTATATATATATATATATATCATATATATATATATATATCATATATCATATACACAGGCAGTACACAAAGTTGTTCTGCGCCTGCACGCGTGTGTGCGTGTGTGTGTGTGTGTGTTTCTGTGTCTGTGTAGATATGTGTGAGCCGTGTGTGTGTGTGTGTGGGCGGGACGGGGCGGACGTTCTTTCGTGTGTGTGTGTGTGTGTGTTGCTAGTAATTATTGGGTACTCCCAGAAAAAGCCATGCGTCCAGACCTTCCTGTCAGATTACACACAAAGGAGGCCGCGAGTAGCGAGTAATTAAGTGTTTTGACCCGGATCCTGGACCGCAACCCACAAAATCTTCATTCCACGAACTCGACACCGCAAATCCGAAATCTCGAATCCTACATCCTACGTGCCAAGCCCCTTCAAACCCTACAGTCAAGTACCGGTACTGCCGAGCTTCCGGGCAGAGATAGCTGAGCGGACCGAAGATATCGGCCCCGCCCAGACACCAGATCTCCCCTGAAGGCAATTGTGACGGGCAAACGACTCTGAACATTGCTCACCAGGTCAACGTGCAACGACACCGTGAAAGCCAAGGTTTGCAACCCTGTAGCAACAGTGACCCTCAAGACCATCGCCATTGTCAATTTCAGATTCATTGGATTCATGGCCCTCGCGAGTCTGAGCCAGCCAGGCGGAGCATTTCGACACGTTTGCATGGAAATGTTGGTGCCCCAAATGCATGAGGCATGAGGTCTGAAGCAAAGAAAGAAGTTCGGACACGTCGACGCCGTGCCTGTCATTGGGTCCTTCGGAACGGCTTGCAGCATCGGGCAGCCACCCGCTTTCATCATGTTTACCGCACTCATGTCGCCCAACTCGAGTCGATCCTTAAAGTCTCCATCGGGGCTGCAAGTGGAGTGTGACGAAACGAAATCTACAGCGATGATGAACGCGTTTCCGGTAAGCCTAAAACTGTCACAAGCCTCCAAAACGCTGCATAGCAATAACACTCACCTCTTTGAAGAATAGCATCCTGCCCGTAGTAGGCAGAAATGGCCGAAGCGTAGTTGTCCCAGAATTGGTTCCAACTCTCTTGCGCACCGGCTTGAGGGAAGTCCTTGGCCGGGTCAGCTGCCGGAGAACAGTCAGCCCTGATACTCACCCAGGGCGACAGGGTTTGCGGAAGGCGCGATCCTGTGCTAATGGGTTGCTGTGGTAGGCTGAGCAGCTGAAACTTCTTGTGCCTAATTGTACTTGACAGCCTTGCTGAGCTTATGGTTTGTGTACCACCTTAGTGTACCAGGCTTGTTGTTCGTTGCCGGCACTGATGTGTCTCGTCATTTAGCATGCAGGAAGCACCTTCAACATCTTCAAAATAAACAAAGGCATGCACAAACTAAATGCCAACAAAACTAAACACATCTATCTATGTACGTGTCCAACTATCTAGTTGTCTTTCTATCGATCCATCTACCTATCTGTCTGTCCATGTACCTATCTTTCCAACAAGAGGAGTGCTGTAGTACTTTCTGCTACACCGTTTGTCTGCGGAGAATTCGGAGTGATTTTGCTGACTCACTGAGCCCAAGAATCCTGGCAAGGCAATGCCCTCATCCGCGACTCTCTCTGCAGGAGACACATCCTCGCAGCCACTGTGCATGAAGGAACAGGCGAGGGCTTGGGCCTCCGGGCGTGTGCGATACGATGGTGCAGGTAGATAGTCGTAACCCACAACCAAATCTCCGGCGGCAAAACAGGGGGCGTGCGAGCTCCGTTGTGGAACCTCCACTTTTTCTGTGGCTTGAAAGCACGTCATGCGCTGCCGAAACCCTCTCCCGATCCCCCACCCGCCACTTTTCCCCAAGGATTCCGGGGCTTCCTTTAGCGCCATCTACCAGCTCCAAAGTGACCATCCATGTCTTCTTGGGCCGAAACATTTCATGGGCCCCACTGCGCTGCCCTTACTGCAGAACGCAGTGACGTTCTTGCAATTGCATGTCCCACCACTTTGCTGCTGCTCGTCCTAATCCTGGAATTGTACTTCTCGTCGGTGTTGACGATTTACTGATGTGGCAAGTCCGATGGTACGGCCTGTCGTCTCAGTCGGTTCTTGCAGACTTGGCTAGCCCTCTGACATGGGTTAAGAACACGAGTCCACACATTGACCCCAATCTGTACAATCACTCGACAGACAAACTCTCAACAGAGGCGTGGCAGGGAAAAAAGGAACGGATCTCAACAGAATCCAGACCCCTCATATGAAACGAACATACCCCAACATGTCAAGCAGCTCGGCGCAGCCCTCCGCTTTTTGCTTGTACCAGGGAGATGCGAGCCTCTGTGGCTGAGGGAATAAGGCCACAGCGAGGCAACTTGACTAGACACCGCTTCGGCTGCAACTGTAGCTGGCAGAACAGCATGCAGAAGAAACAACATGATTGATTCTGAATGCAGAGTTAGTAAGCAAGATTACAAGCAACCAGAAGAGCTCCCCCCGACCCGAATTTCAACAAGGGACGGATCTGTGCAGCCACATGTTTGGCCGCACATGAGCCGCACCATCCGTGCCTGTGCAAATAACGCAAATATCCCGGCACCAAGAAAGCTTCATCTGGTCTTGTCTGACAGCATTCATCCGTCTTCCTAACCCCACTGCGAAGATGTCTAGCCCTTTGCATTCCAGGCCTCTGGATAATAGCATGTATTGCCCAGCCTGAGCTGAGGATCAAGACAATGCAGAAGCCCCGCCCGGCTTCCGAAGAGTCATCACGGGTTCAAGGATAAAAACAACAACAACAACGACAACGACAACGACAACGACAACGAAAACGA